CCATTCTGCTATTTTGGTGTGTTTACATTCAAAGATCTGTTTGTGGGGTTGATTCACTCTGACGCTGGATATTTTTCTACATGTATTTTGCCCAGGATAACTTTTTTTAATGAAAAACACTATAGGAAGCATGAGTCAACTAGTTTATAGAAAGAACCCCTGTATGAGATGGTTTTAGCTGCAATCATAATTTTGAAGTGCAATTTTAAAAAATGTTTTAACTAAAATGAAATAATTTGGTGGTGCTATATTCTTTACAAAAAGTACTTATGTGTTTATGCTGTTTTTAATAATATTTAACTGTAATGAAAAAAAAAACCTATGATGCTATTTTGTAAAGTATTTTTAGTGGGATGAAATAAATTGCTAGTTGTATTTACAGCAAATAATTTGGTTTTTCTGCTTTTTAAAGAATTTTCAAAGTGATGACATAATGTGGTGGTTCTATTCAAGTAAAATAATTCATAAGTACTATTTTGTAAAAAGGAACAAAAAAGTGTGTTAATTTGTAAAATGTTTGCTTTCTTTAATTTTTATTTCTTAAACTGTTACAAAAAGTTTTCCATACCTACAGTAATCCATTGGCTGAGAAATTGCAGCTATATATTCAGGAAAGTTATAGCACAAATAAATTATCTAAGTATTACATGGTTTCATGGTTTTTACTATGGACTGAATAATTATTTTGTTTAAATAAAATATTTGGTTTTGCTGCTTTTTAATGAATTTTCAGAACGATGAAATAATATGGTGTTTCTACTCAAGTAAAACAATTCAGAAGTGCTATTTTGTAAAAAAAGAACAAAAACTGTTCATTTATAAAATGTTTTCTTTCTTTAAATTTTATTTCTTAAACTGTTACAAAAAGATGTCCAAACATGCATTATTCCATTGGATGAGAAATTGCATTTATACATGAACAAATATATTATCTAACTATACCTAGTTTTATGATTCTTACGAGGTACTGAATAATGATTTTAAATAAAAATAATTATTTAATTAACATTACCGGTCATGCTCAATACATCAATAAAAAAGGATATTACTTAATAACACAACCTTATGCGGGTAGTAGGCTACCGGCACTTGTATATATTTATTGACAACTCTTCTGAAATTACGGACATAAGAAAACGCACTTTGATAAATCATACTTCCTGGGGCACTTTCTTGCTATGGAGCTCTCTTTCCAAAACTTTATAAGTTTTGCCAAGATCAATTAACCTTTTTACGTGTATTCTTTTTGAGGCAACTCGTCTATCTTTAGGGGCCTAATTACTGTGCCCGGGTCAAGTCGTCACTGTCCCTTTAACACGGAAGGTGTGTTGACATGGGCAACCCTTCACTTCAAACGAAGCCCTGAATCCTCAAGAAAATTATGCCCACCTTTCCGACTTTGACATTCAGGTAAACAACAATACTGAGGCATGTTTAATAAGACCAGTACCACAGTCCAACGTATACAATATCCAACATGGCGACTGTGGAAGGACTGAATTCACACTAGCGACACCTGGCGCCAAGCGGGCTGGTATTCCTCAATGTGAAATCATTAACATTATAACAATAACATTAACCCGTCCGTAATGTAAACGTATTCGCTGTAGCCCGTAGCCACTTACGATGCAAAATAAAATTTAAAAAAACGCATGGAAAATCGTTTACGATTTCATCGCACAGTACACTTTTCAAATGTAATCTAGGCATGAGAATTAAATGTATAATCTAATAACAGAAATAAAATGAAAATACACTTCTCCGGTGGATATGAGTTATAACTTTTTTGGTGTTTTTGATATGATGATTCTGCTGCATCAAGAGTATTTTAATCCAAAAACAGTTACGGATGCCTTCAGTCTTGGACATAATAACGTTATTCGTTATGAAGTCCAAGCTTCAGTGTAGTATAGATAGATCGCCTCGTAATAAATCGTAAATCCTGTCGAAAGAAACCACTAAAAGCAGCACAGTCATCTTTGTTTCTTGTTATGTTAAAGTATTCTACTAGTTTTTTTTATCGAAAATTCATAATAAAGCCATGCTAACATTCTTACAGGGTTATCACAAAATACACTTAGAACAAAAAAAAACTTATAAAATAAAAGATATCAGGGAGAGTTTCGTCAAGTCTTATGTATAGCCAAAATATAGAAAAGGCCTGTAGATTACTTGTATTTAGATAAGTACACATACTCTTTTCATCAGCGAGTTTCCAAGACAAAGAAATTTAGGTTACAAATGTACGACAACTACAGAAATGTTCATAAAGTATGTCCATGTATGCAATATCATATTTTTAATTAAATCTTAGATGATGTAACAACTTGACTTTGTTTCAAAAAAATAAAAGAACTAAAAAAAACAAATATTGTGAGAATTCTTACTCAAAACTGTTTAAGTTGATCTACCAGTATCTTTTGACAGTATGTCTACCTGTATGTATGGAGATGATATGATATTTGGTAATTTGAGGTAAAATCTTACATAATTTGATGGCTTGAATTTGTTAAGTTTAAAGAAAGGGGAAAATGTTGTGAGAAGTCCGATTCGAGACGGTTTATGTTGATCTTTGTTGATTGTTCTTATCACCTAAGAAATTTAACCTGCTCTCTCTCTCTCCCCTGTGTGTGTGTGTGTGTGTGTGTGTGTGTGTGTGTGAGGTGTGTGTGTGTGTGTGTGTGTGTGTGTGTGAGGGGTGTGTGTGTGTGTGTGTGTGTGTGTGTGTGTGTGTGTGTGTGTGTGTGTGTGTGTNACAAAAAGATGTCCAGACATGCCTTATTCCATTGGATGAGAAATTGCATCTATACATGAACAAATATATTATCTAACTATACCTAGTTTTATGATTCTTACGAGGTACTGAATAATGATTTTAAATAAAAATAATTATTTAATTAACATTACCGGTCATGCTCAATACATCAATAAAAAAGGATATTACTTAATAACACAACCTCATGCGGGTAGTAGGCTACCGGCACTTATATATATTTATTGACAACTCTTCTGAAATTACGGACATAAGAAAACGCACTTTGATAAATCATACTTCCTAGGGGCACTTTCTTGCTATGGAGCTCTCTTTCCAAAACTTTATAAGTTTTGCCAAGATCAATTAACCTTTTTACGTGTATTCTTTTTGAGGCAACTCGTCTATCTTTAGGGGCCTAATTACTGTGCCTGGGTCAAGTCGTAACTGTCCCTTTAACATGGAAGGTGTGTTGACATGGGCAACCCTTCACTTCAAACGAAGCCCTGAATCCTCAAGAAAATTATGCCCACCTTTCCGACTTTGACATTCAGGTAAACAACAATACTGAGGCATGTTTATTAAGGCCAGTACCACAGTCCAACGTATACAATATCCAACATGGCGACTGTGGAAGGACTGAATTCACACTAGCGACACCTGGCGCCAAGCGGGCTGGTATTCCTCATTGAAAGCAAGAAGAGAAGCAGGAAGGATCAGGGCAAAGAAATGCAGGTAAGATATCTCCCTTTTTAATTTTTGCTTTACCTCTTCTTCTCTAAGGTTAAGAATAGGCTTTTTGACTATTATATGGAATAGATTATGTGGAAAAACTTACAGGGGTTTAAAGTTAAAAATACTGTATGGTCAGACGGGTACCTTAATTAATAGACAGAGGTGAATTGTGTGCAGAATTTGTTCCATGCTCTGATATTTTTTGTTCAAAGAAAAAGGATGAGTGCATATATCATTGGCTAAGTGGCAATAATCAAAATTTAAAAACAAATTGCTGTTATAAAGTTTATGCATACAGTATATATATGTTGCCTAAAAATATTATTTGTTTTGAGGCAAAGTTACTTCGTATTTAAATGAGTTATATGGGGGGAGAGCCAGATTTACCTGTTGTATGCAGTCTAATGAATCAGAGCAACTTGTTTCAGTATATACAAATGATTTTTTTCTAATGAAACTGGTCTTTAAGACTTATTCAGCATTTATTTCTGATTTATAAGACTTTTAACATCCAAGATCCATTGTTAGCCCTCCCCCCCTTCAAATCCTGGATCTGTTCATGAGATAGCTTTACCAGCCCTTGCACTGAATTAAAAAATGTCACCTTTTTATTCTGTAGCAAATTTCTTTCTGATTTAATAATTTCATAGACATACCAATAGTTTTAAAATAGAAAACCTTCTTAAGTATTTGTCAAAACTGCTGAAGTTGAATAACTTTGGCTTTGCTTTTATTATGAATAGTGAATTATGAATAATGCTGGTGTGAAAGGATAAGGCATAAGTAACAAAAGTGGGGTGTGTGATGGAGCTTTTTATTTTACTTTATATGCAAAACATACATAAAGGGGGAGGGGGGGATTTACACAGCAATTTTGATTATACAGTATTAACATTCATGCCCATAAGAATGGGTCTCTATATAAAACAGGGGCCAACACAATGTATGTGTGCTATTACCATAATGAATATCTGAATAACTTTTCTTATTTCTACTTTCTTAACCCTAAGAAATGAGAATAGAAATAAAATTCACTTACTGTATTTGGATCTATTTCTCATCCATATTTTCCTTTTTTTTTTTTTTTTTTTTTTTTTTTTTTTGGGATAGCATGCATTACAAGAAAATAAAATTTATTTTCTTCTTGCAACTGAATATTGATTGTTCACTTATTGCCTTTTATTTTTACACTGACACCTTCTGTGCCTAATTCTTAAATTTAACAGTTGTCACATTACTATAACTATAGATATGAAGCATTGTACTTCAGAACCCCCCCTAAAACACACATTTTCCTGAATACATGACATTGTCATTTTGGCATTAATTTTTCATTTATCTTTTTTTATATGTTCACAATTTATTTTTCATGTATAAAGATGGGCACTTTTATCCCCTTATTTGCCTTCATCCTTTCTCCCTTGTTTATGCTGTTGTGATTGCATACCATACAGAGATTGTGTTGTGTTACAGGGAGGCAAAAAAGCAGCATGCTCCTAAGGTAAAGCCTACAATGACAGTGACCCCAAAGAGTAGACCCCTAACTCGACAGGCTGCAGAACTGCAGGAAGAGCAGCGCAAGAAATGGAGGGAGGAGAAACGGACTCAGAGGCAGTTGTGGACTTCCCAGAAGTGGAGAAGACATCGCGAAAAGTGTGTGCGATACAACCGGAAGCGACGCGAAGAAACACGTAAGTAAAATTAAATATGCTTCATAGTGTGACTGTGTGGGATTTTTCACATCTTTTTTACACCACAAATATAATAGCAATATTATCTTTAGATTCTTATAAGAATACTTTTTATAACTAATTGTTCTTAGTTTTCATTTTCACCTCTTATTCATTTTTTTATCTTGCCACTTTTCTATTATCATTTTCTTTCTATTAATCTTATGACAACAGGGCTAGACACTACCTTTTATGAGCACATAAATTTGACCTGTCTGAATTTCATTACCACCTGTCCAACAAAACCAATAATTTTTTTCTATTCATACCATTGAACTTTGTAAATAAATATGTGTAGTCATACATTTATAACAAATTCACATGAAGTTTAACCAAAGCTAGAAAAAAATACCATGAGTGACAGTTGGGGAGGGGGTACTGTTAGATTGATTTCATTAAAATATTTAAAAAGTATAATATTTGAATAAAGTTCATGAAAAATTAAAGAATATTCATTTTATAAATACTTTACTTATATTTATGTTAACAATTCAACTTTTTAGGGGTTATCATGTGTTTGATTATTTTTTAAATATGCGAGTTAAATAAAATCAGTATACAAAAAGTTCTCCTTTTTATTTAAGTTCTCATAATTATTTGTTATTACTAATTTCTTCACTACATCAATATCACACAGGTATATGACAGCAAAGTTAATTTATCATATTCCAGCACTAAATTTTTAACTGTAAATAATATAGGTGATGCTAAGTAAAACATCATACAAAATTTCAGGTTATATTTTGGCAAATAAACAATATCTCAACAAGATCTTCAGTCCCAAAGATTTAACATTCTATAGTGAGTAGATAGCATACAATTTATGCATCAAAAAAATGATTTTTAAAAAGATTTTTGCTCAAAATTTCTCATAAATCATGAACTGTCCGTTGGACAGCCAACCCTGCAACTCACCTATCCAACTGAATTTTTACCCTGTCCAGGACAGGCAGACAGGCAATAATGTCGAGCCCTGGACAATAATAATTTTTTTTTCTTTTAGTTTTGAATTTTATTAATTTGTAAAGTCTACTGAAAATACATTAGATTTTAGACTATAAATTAATATTATTATTATTATTAATAATGTCTGTTATCATGTATTATTATTATTATTATTATTATTATTATTATTATTATTATTATAAGTGTCTGTTATTTTGTATTGGGGATTAAGCACTCTTACGCTCTCTCTTAACACAGGAATGCTGACTGCTGCTTCTCAGGCACATCCTGAAGCTGCAGGAGATGGGGAGAGTTTTACACCAAAATCACCATCTTGCAATGTGTACTCGCCTTCACCAACTAAACTCAAGATAGCCTACAAGTCTGCGCTTCATGATGCCAAGCGTCACAGGAGCAAAGAATCTCTGGCAAGAAGGCGACTTCTGACAAGTCTCCTGAACCCGGAGCTAGATGCTGACACCAAGAACCTGTACCAGAGGAAAAAGGCTTCTGAGGTATCGTGCGCAGCACGCGAGTTCCTGGAGGACAGCGCTGCCCATGTCCCTGGGAAGCAGACCATTTCCAAAAGGACAGGGGTCCAGAAGAAGATATTACCAAAACGACTTAAGAGGCTGCACAAAGAATTCCTTCAGAAGAACCCTGGATCACAGATTTCCTTGAGGACACTCTATCGAATCATGCCTAAGCACATCCTGTCGTCAAAGAGGTTGAAATTCAACCAGTGCTTGTGCGAGGTGTGTGCAAATATAGACCTGAAGCTGGACGCCCTTAACAGACACCTAGAGGATCCAGTGGATGGGAGGGATTTACTGTCAGAGGCAAGTTTGTGTGCAGGCGAGCCGCAGCAATCTTGCCTAGACAGACAGTGCTTGAATTGTGGGGTTGCCCAAGCCAGGGCCAGATGTCAACTTAAGACCGACTCCCAGGGCGATGCCCTGACAAAGTGGAGGAGCTGGAAGATTGTGGACACCCCAAGAGGGAAAAGGCGGGAGCTCGTTACAGAAGAAGGGCTCATTGAACGCCTACTTGACAAATTGATGGAAGAGCTACAGCCATTCTCGAGACACCTGGCGAATTTCAGGTGGCAGTACCAACAGTTTCGCACTTTGAAGTGTAACTTGCCGCCTACATGGGCCCTTGTGGTGATGGACTTTGCTGAGAACTTTCTTTGCAAGTATCAAAACAAAGTCCAAAGCATATACTGGTTCTACAATCAGGTCACAGTCCATCCTTGCGTGCTCCACTATGCCTGCAAAGATTGCAAAGCCAGTCATGATCAACCAGAGACACCCGAGGCACCGCAGCCAGTCTCCAGTATCATTCGGCATCTTACTTCTGTATGGAAGACTTCATCACCAAACACAACTTTGGCAATGCTACGAGGCATGCAGTTGCCATCTGCAGCAACAGCAACAGGGTAGAGATGTTGAGGGACAGAGCTTGGGCGCAGATGAAGTGCATCACTGTCAACAATGCCTGAAACTTCAAGCACGGTCTTTGGCCAGACTTGTGGAATGGGAAAATATGAGATTTTGGTTCCTTCTATTGAACAAAGATGTTCCAAGTCCCTGTAGGTGCCACATTCAGACATTCTACGGGACAGATTGTCAAAATAGGCACGTCGTTCCTGTGGTGCCTCAGGTGTCTCTGGTTGATCATGACTGGCTTCCTGCCGAGGTAATGTGACTGGCTGCAGTGCCTCGGGTGTCTCTGGTTGATCATGACTGGCTTCCTGCCGAGGTAATGTGACTGGCTGCGGTGCCTCGGGTGTCTCTGGTTGATCATGACTGGCTTCCTGCCGAGGTAATGTGACTGGCTGAGGTGCAGGATGGGAAGAGCAAGACACATCTGTGCTTCTGGCTTTCAATTTTACTAGGTCCCACTCGATACCAGAACTGCAGTATTCAGGCTGGTTTTTCAAGCACGAGTGACAAAAGCATGACAGTCTCCTTGTGGCAAGAACATTTTCTTGAATGCTCTTTATACTGTGGATCTTCCTGGTCCCGGCCAGAGTCTTTAAGGAGGCTGATTATATTGTATGGTCAACATCCCCCGAGTTGATAATTCTAAAAGACCGTCTTCTATGGCAACAGCCTTGGTTCTGCTCCACTGGTAGGGTGTAGTTCTCTGTGCAATGTGTGTACATATCACTGGCACTCTGTATAACTGTACCTGTGAGGATATCGTCATGAACAAGTCTCTTGATGACACCACCAGCTGCATCACATTCACTTTTCCCATGCCTGGACCCAAAAAAGCATCTCTCTAACTCCACCCCCCACTTTTCACTCCCAAGGTGATGGAACGGTAGTTTACTTTTATACTGGGCAGGGCAACCATCTGAAAATATGACGACCTTTTCAAGGCCCGCAACTGATGAATTGAGATGCTTGATGGTCTCTGCCTGGATGTTTTTGACGATGTGCGCGTCATGTTTAAGGTCATCTGAGAAAAAAATGACGTAGTCTGTGACTTGGGCATTGCAATCTTTGCAGGCATAGTGGAGCACGCAAGGATGGACTGTGACCTGATTGTAGGACCAGTATATGCTTTGGACTTCGTTTTGATACTTGCAAAGAAAGTTCTCAGGAAAGTCCATCACCACAAGGGCCCATGTAGGCGGCAAGTTACACTTCAAAGTGCGAAACTGTTTATGTATATGTATAATGTATATGTTGAATTTGCAGTAAAGCATAGTGTACTTTTGCATCAGAATCGACAGTAGCCTTTTTTGTGCATTATTATTGTATGCTTTTGTCTTTACATTTGACAGCTATGCTGTCTTGTTTACCCTTATCTTTGGATGCTGTGTTTTGACAAGTTTTCACTCAATGCACATGTGCCAGTGTATGAATGGATATGAAGTTAGTCATAAAATTTCTTGATATTTCCAATTCCTCTTGTTCAACTTCAGGTATTTTCATTGGTGTTTGTATTTTGGTCTGTTATTACTTGAGCGTGATGCTGAGAATGATTGACTGATGATGATGAAGACACAAGAATGAGTTCGCACACTTTATATGATATCTCTATTGCACTGTTTATTTTCATACAGCATACTCTAATTTTGATTTTACATTAAATAAGTGCTTTAAATGTCATTTGAACATTGGAATTACTGTAATTCTTTGTTTTAGATGTGCAAGAAGTTTGAAAAGCATCAGAAAAATGGCAAATGGTATTTTTGTTATAACAACCAACACAATAATTAGCTTCCAAAATTGTAATTCTCTTATTATATCTGTCCATAATTGTTACATTTAAGATTTCCTACTTGTACATGTCTTGTTCTTCAGACTGCATATTCAGTTGAGATTTTTTACTTGAGAATGAAAAAAGTATGTCCGTGACCATAATGTAACAACCAACACCAAATTTAGCTTCTACTGGTTGCAAAGAGCAGTGTATGTGTGCACTGTTGTGTCATTGCTTTATATATTGGTACAAGATCTAGAAAAAATACATGTGATCTGTTCTCAGACAAACTGTGTAGCTTCCAGGTGTATTTTAGTGCTCAAAAGTATGTCCATTCATAAGATGTAACAACCAACACCAACATTGTTATTTTCCTGTGTTCATTCACAGTGTATTTCCATCTGATGCTTGTTTTCTGTCAAAAGGGTTGACATAAATTTGAATACATACTAAATGAAAGCCATGTAGGTGTGTTTTCTTGTTTATTTTTAAAAGTTTGAATGTGTGGAAGGGTTGGTTGTTACGCCGGACATACCACAACATGCAAATATTTACAGAAATTATTTCTCATGGCAATTTTTGCATTGCATATCCCTTAAGGATAGCTTTCTTGTCAAATTAAATGTTAAGTTTACTCCCAACAATTGTTTCTTCATTGCACAGGAGCTGTATTTGTATGTCCGGCGTAACAACCAACACCAAGCTGTCTCATCAGCTATTTCTGCTATATCTCAAAAACCTGCTGATGAGTTATCTTTTTATATGCAGGGTAACATTCTTAAAACGGCACACTTTCAGTACCACTAGCTGTGACACCTGAAAAAGCATGTCTAGTTTTGGTCCTTTTAGTTATCTTTTGCCACGACCTTTTGTCACAGGCTCATATATATATAACATTGAGATTTTAGTAGCGTTAATTTTAAATGGTTCCGATGATTGTTTTGGATTTTAATATTCTAGTAATTTTAAGGATTTTAGTTATATTTACCATTGTAAGCCGCCCAATAAGAAACATTATTATTATTATTATTATTATTATTATTATTATTGGCGCTATTTTTTAGCAATGCTGAGGAGAAAACACTGATTAATATTCATCTTTGCATTAACCTCAAGGCTTTGTATGTATTTTTCAGAGTTTATTATGTTTTGGTTAAACTCAATCCATATGCACACTATTGGAAAATTGAGGGAGGAAGACAAAAATGCCATGCCATACGTCTTGATTATTGGAACTCATAAGGACATGTTATGCCCACAGGTGAAAACGCTTTTCTTATCACAATTATTCAATTACTACCGTACTTATTGTACCACCAGCGTAGGCGCTGGCGGTACACATGGTTTTAGTCCCGACCCGTATGTTCCGCCAGTTCCGCCGGCTCCTGCGGCTCCGCTGCCAAGTCACCGTTACCGCTTCTCCTCCTNAGTATAATCCAGGGACAGATTTAGGGTGGGTGTCAGGGGGGTCCTGACCCTCTCTTCAGTTTCTGAAAAAAATCAATGGTCCCCTCTTGAAATTAGAATTTCGACTAGCTGAATCATAGTTCTAAACCGTACCAAATGGCACCGTTCGCCCTCTTAAATACCAAACTTTTTCTGGGCCCTTCACCGGGCCTCCCACCCCACGCCAAGAGGAGGGGGGTCGGCTTCGCATCCGCGAAACCCCCCTCCTTTATAATAATCCTGAATCCGCCCCTGTAACCTGTTTGCAATTTTCATTAAAAATAAAAGATATCTTTGGTCCCGACCTTTTTTTTAATAGCGTACACAGGTAAGAACACCAAAGCAAATCACCTGTAGTTTTTCCTCTTTTTTTATTACTTATTTCAACTGGTGCGGCGATAGTGGGTACTCGAGGGAGGGGGATCTGGAGCACAATCTTAATAGAGTTCTGATAATTTGACTACAAATCCATCTTCACACATATATTTGGAGACTTATTGATCACATGGCAAAGTTTTTGTTTTTCATTATGTAAGGCTTCGTTCACATGCAATGTCTATTTTCTAAATTCTATTTTCTATTCGCGGCATGTGTTGTGATCACGGTCTGTGCCCTGAATATCCCGCGGCGTAATTACTGGCAGCGCGAGCCAATTACTATAAGTTACTATAAGTAACTGTCTCGCGCTGCCTTACATAAGGTTCACATATTGACATGTTCTATTCTCTACGGTACACTGCAGTTGGTGGCAAACACCACACAAGAGAGCGTCTGTTAAACCCCCTTTACACTGGATGGCGTCTTTTTGCATCCTTTGTGCGACAATAAAACTGGCATCGCTGTGATCGTGTAGAAAGGAGGCACAAGCATCGCTTTGGTTGCAGAGTGAATGCTCAATGATCGGCCAGTTGTCATCACGTAAAGTATTTTTCACTCTCAAACGAGGTCGCACTGAGGGACGCAGAAAGGACGTCGTCCAGTGTAAAGGGGGCTTTAGGGAATCGGCATATTACATTCACAGAATGGAATAATAGTCTATCTAAGGAAATGTGTATTTACTTACACGTTAAGTGTTGTGTTGGGAAGGGGATAGATATCTTTGAGTCTTTTTAGTAAATGCAATGAAAGATATTGATACCCCCTTCTCAAAATAAGAAGAATAAACAAATGCTTCCAACTTGACTTGTTGCCATATCAAACTTGAGTTTATTTACAACAAACAGCTAGGCCTATTTTCCGCACTTAAACAGTAAGAGAAGACTAAAAAACTCATTTCGACAATCCAAAAAGTCTAATGAAAAATGTAATTTTGACACAAGTCGAGGCGATTTTAAGTTTGAGCGTAATTTACTTGTTAATCATGAACACTATTAAGAAGCGCGTGATCAATTTTTATAATTACAAGTTATCTTAAATAATTTCCCCGTGAACCACCACGACGAGGAATCGTAGTGACCAAGAAGATTTTAAATTTTGAAATCTTTTTATTTCTGGATATTTTGACTGTTAGGGCCTATCCCCAATTTCCGCTTAAAAAAAAAAAAAAAAAAAAAAAAAAAAAAAAAAAAAAGACAATGTCCCTATGAAATTCACCCTTGTCGAACACAAATAAATAGAA